AAAAAAAAAATGCACTAGATAAAAGCTATGATGTCAAAAACATAGCCCTCAAGGTTCTTCTGGCTTTGAGTAACAGTATTTTATAAGCTCAGATCGAAGACCTACACTAACTTCTTACAAAACCAGGACAAAAAGAAATGCTGTAGTTGTGGAAAAATAGAGTCTGCAAAAGATTTATGACAACTAAAATAATTTTAAGCATAATTGTATTTTGCACAAAATCTCCAACAACATCTGTAGAATAACAATGCATCAGATGTCATTTCAGAAGTAGTAGATAGACGGGGAGTAAGCAGTTTCAATTACTGTTGATCTTGCTTTCACAGCCCTTATTCAGCGATAACTTTTAAGACAGCTAAAGTAAAGCTAGAAAAACATGGCCAGGAATGGAAGAGAAGTATGTGAGAGATCATCTCCTTAATACCAGTAGCAATGCAAAAAAGGTAACACAAACTACTAACCATGCAAGATGGCAAAGTCAGATCTGAGCTTGAAAATACAACCTGAACTCCATCACCTTACTTTCAACTTGAGAAGAAAGGATAATAGAAAATCATGCTAATTACCATTTTGGCTTCACCATATGTATGGCATCAAGAAATTATCTATAACAAAACAATATTTTATTATGAATTCTTAAGTAACCAACCTAAGTTTGTTTATAATTCTATTCTATGTCATTGCAAAGCTTCAAAAAGAACTTAAGTCTCCAACATCAACAGTACTAGAAGCTCCCTTCAATGATGAATTGTCATTCAAATTGTCATTCAAAGTTTCTTGACAGAATAACAACCACAAAATAACCACTGGTACCCACTCACTTATCCAAGAGTTGCATAAGGTACCTTTCTTAACTGGGCTGATGAAATAGCATCTTAAAAATCACAATTGCATAGGTTAATAGAGAAGAATATACTTTACTTTCACTGTTATGGGCATCTTTATTTGGTAATATCTCTATACCAAAACTCCAACGAGCTCAAGGTAGTCCTAATAGATTGATTTTCTCCAACTATTTCATAAGACTTCCAAGTACTTTTAGTTACACCCATCCATATCCACAGCGGTCACTACCTCTCACATAACAGTTAACAAACTAAGAATGTTTAACAAAAAGTTAAACTGCATTTAGGAAGTGCTTACTCAGTAGTTGTAGAGAAAGCAGAGAAGATTGTCCCTCCATGTCCAGACCTGCTGAAGCTATTTGCTCTGGATAGTGAGCAGGCCAATTAAGACCATGCATCTACCTTCAGATTCTACCTTAATAATCAAATTTTGAGTATCAGTACAGCCCAGTTTCATGTGTCTCCACCTCTCCTGTGGCACACCAAGAAAGGCGGAAATCTTCATTGCTGCAGTTTTGGCCTCTGTTGCTATCTAAAGGTATGGACATATACGAAGACTTCTGTCACAACACCGATCCCATGGAATTTCACATTCCTTATTACTGCTGGCACTCTAACAAAAGCCAGGCAGTAAGTAGAGAGAGGACAAGTGTTAACTCACTTTAAGTTTCCAAGCAATTTCATACTAGCCTGGAAAAGTTCCAAACATCACTAAATGCATCACTTGGGTTTACTCACAGATAGTACCTGTGAAGGCAGATCCCAGCTAAGCAGTACTTACTGACCTAATAACAGAGGAACAAAGATTGCGTTTTAACAGGAGCTCACCAATCCTTAAAAAATGCATTAAGAAAGACTTTATTATTGGTGTCTACTAGAAAAACTAATTAGATACTGCAATTTTATCACACTACTAGGCTTTAAAAACCAGCTTCTGGAAGATGTATTTCTTCTTCTTCCCAATTCTCTCTATGTATTCTTTTACATATATATAAATTTATACACACAGAAAACCTGAGAATCTCAGAAAGTTCAGAGGAAATACCACAGACCACAAACTACAAAATTAAAATGTTATTTTTTTCATTTTTGCTGTGACAGAGTGTTTTTGAGTTAAAATTCAAATCCTGTGTTTTTCATGGAGGAAAAAAGTGTAATACTATTGTTTCATCAAAATAAATTTGTGAGACAGCATAACTCGCTAATAAAAAATGAACATGAGAAAATATTCATCTAAGCACGACACATGCAAATATAGGCCACAGATGCACAAATGCCTACAGGGCATTTATATATATTGTGTGTATATATTTATATATATTGTATGTATATATATTTGTTTCCTGAATAAATTAAATTCAGTATTTTGATCATCCTTTGCCAAGTCAGTTAACAATTTCCTAATTTCTTACCTAAGTAAGTGACAACTTCCAGATTTAGCTAAACTGAATTTGTTTCTCCAACTAAAAGCCTTCAGGAAAGTTGATGTGCCACAAAAATAAGATGAAGGAAAGTAGAAACTTTCAAGAAGAGGCAACTTCCATTTTTTTTTTTTTTTTTTGGTAAAAGCTCCCAACAGAGAAAAACTACTTGTTTCATCTGGTGTGTGCCACTTAAGTACAGATTATGCACATTCAGCCTTTGAGAGCCCTTCCAAAGCAGTCACCATCCTTTGGTGCTCCACCAGACCCAGATGTAGAGGTGATGAACAGCTGTTCAAGACAGCAGAGCTGCTGCTTTAGGGAACAGAAAGGCAGATGTACATTCACCGTTCACCTTCCACCTTCTAGCATTTACAGCCCTCCCTTTGTTATTTCATAACTGCAGTTAACTTCCTACACAAGAGAATCATCCTTCTCAACTAGTTCAGCGTATCAAAATTAAGCAATTCTCAAAACCAAAACTAAGATGTTTACAGCTTTCGGCTTGTGACCCTATCCTCAACTGTTGGATGAAAAGACATCAAACAAGTAGGGCAGATATGATGTCACTCCACTCATATCCTCTCTGCTCACTGCCCTTCAGGGCAAGTGGATTAATACACACAGATGAAACAAAATGTGCCTACACTGCTGAAAAACCATGAAAAGCCATGAACTAGCCCTTGTTTTGAAGTGCTCCAAAGCATATTCACATTAGAGATCTCTGGCATTGATGACTAGAGAAGATACTTCACACTGCACCTCCAACATGTAAAAAAAAGAAAACAGGCAAAAAGATTGGGAAATGCTGAGATTTATAAAATCTACTCAGCCTTAAAGTGTTTAGCAGATCAACTGTAACTATTTCAGAATTCATTCAGACAAACTGATAACGATGCTTGACAACACTGAACAATAAGTTTAGCCATCATCAGGAACTGCTCTGCAATTTTTTGTAATTATTAACTGGAAAGACATTTTTTCTACCTCACCTTAGACCGCTGGCAAAAAAACTCTGAACACTGAACAGTGGATTGACAAAAGGCCAGGCCTCAAGAATTTTGGTGTAGGTATGGCAAGTCAGTCCATCAAACTCTTATCAGCAGTGCTTTTTTTCACCCCCATTAATATCATATATGTTTAAAAACATCATTACTTGAAAGAAAAATCACCCTTTAATTACCATATAAAGCAAACTTAAGTAATATAAAGCTTTTGCACAGGTTTTTTTAGTACTCAAGACAGTGGAAAACTGAGAAGATTCTGCAAAGAATCCCTGTAACAGGAGATAAAACCAAAAACCAACAGATGTTTGTAACCTGAGAAGAACCATCAAGTATGAGGAACAGAACAATCTACAAGTTTTATAAAACCAGGGGCTAGAAGTCATGCAACAACTGCACCAAACTACAGCCAGCTGAGAGCACAAAAACTCTATCCTCTAGATGTTTCAAAAGCAATAGCTGACTAACCAGAGAACATGATAAACTTATATCTGCCTGTGGGGTCAAACTCAACAACCTTAACATACTGTGCTGGAGAACCATAAATTCATGGTCAAAACACTCACTGTATACCTGGAAAAGTGTTCCCAATCATAAAGATAATCCAAATACGAGGCAAACTAGTGAACCCAGGCTTACTGCTATTAAAGTACTGAAAAACATTCTCTTTCATGATCATTTGGAAGAGAGAGATTTCCTCTCAGTGCCGCTCGCCCAGGCCACAAAGCTGTTGTTCGTTCTGCTCATTCACAAGCAGACTTTAAGGTAAGTGAAACATGAAAGAAAATGGATACATCTCTTATTTGTGTCATTTGTCACTCTGGAAGTTGACACATCAGCAAATGTAAAACTACTAAAAGGAAAGCTTCTGACTAAAAGTCTAAATAGCCTTCCCCCCACCTCCAATACTTCTCATGTTATCTAAGGAAATCAGAAAAACAAACACTGTATTCCTAGAAATGCTAAAGGAAACATTTGAAAAAGTACTTGGGATCACTTCCAAGTCTTTTCCATGTCTCTGAAGAGGATGCTATCCATTTTCTTTTAATACTGTCAATCTCTAAATACAGCTTTTCCAGTTAAAAAACAAGAGATATGGACTACCACATATAATCAACCAAATAATAGCAAATTTTTGTCACCATGTCACTTAAGAAACCTACCATTTATTTCTGCTAAGATCAAATGAAATCCTGACAAAATGACTCTCCCACATGTAAGAGTCTGAATACCTACGTAGTTAAAACCAAGTTAGATTACACTGAAAACTATGATTCACTGAAAAGAAAATCAAAAGTACACAATACATCAGTGATCTACAAACTTAGTATCAGACACTAAGTTAGCTAGATTTCCCTTTAAGGTAACAAAAGCTATAAAATTACAATCTTAAAATAGCCGTTCAATAATCAGGAGCATCCTATCCATTATATAATTACTACTTCGATGGGCACAGCCTTAACCATCTCTTGACATTCTAAGTAATGACTCTGCCAACAGCACCTAGTTACTGAAACTAAACACACGGTAACTACCTGGCCTTTCTGTTATTTCATTCTTCCTAAGAATTTAAAATTAATTAGTAGTCTAGGATGAAAACATTGTAAGAGGAAAAGGATCGATTTTAGTCCTAATAATACTGTTTTGTTTTGACGTTATAAACGTGGAGATGGATTATCAAAGATGAGTTACATTTGGGGCTCAGGTTAATAATATTCCTTAATACTCACCAAAGGGGAAAAAAAAAAGAAACTAGGACACCATGTACTATAAAACAGAAGTAGTACTGGAGAGTATGTCACTGGCTCGGTAACTGCATTGCTTTCAGACTCCAGCGCTACTCCGCGCAACTTTGCTGATGTTTAAGTCACTCGCGATCCCACAACAGCACAAAAGCAGAGCTGGGCTTTGAGCTGAGCCTCTCCGTGCAACTTCCTCCACAACTCCAAGGCCCCCTGTAATTCCGGACACTTCAGAAGCCGCTCGTCCAGCAAACGGTGTTTACGGTTCCAGGAGGCCGGTCCGGGAGCGGCGGGACGGCGGTGCCTCGCCGGGCCGTATCTTTGTTCAGCGCCGCGCAGGGTCCCCGGGCAGGGCTTCAGGGTTGTCGCTGCTCCCGGGGCGGCTCCACAAAAGCTGTGGGCGCGGAGGGCCCCAGATCGCCGCTGCCGCCCCGCTTTGTTCCTCTCTGGCCCCAGGAGCTGGATGCGGACCCGTAGGGGCCGAGCGGGGGCACCGGGCCGGGCCGGGCTCCCTCCCGGCCGGCGCCACGACGCGGGCGGCGAGAGGAGCGGAGAGTAGAGGCGGGGAGGGGAGGGAAGGGAAGGGGGGCATCCGCGGCCGGAGCCGGCAGCAAACTCCGCCCAGCTCGGCGGAGCGGCGGGAGCGCCCCGGCCCGGCGGGTTCCGCGCGAGCCAAGGCCGGGCCGAAGCGGGACGGCAGTGCCCGCGCCTTCCCTGCCCTCCCCTTCTCTCCCCTCCAGCCTGCGCTCGGCCCCGAACCGCGGCCCTGAGTGCCTCCCTTCACCGCGCGGAAACTCCCGAGGGAGCCGGCCGGCCCCGACCGCCGTTGCTCACCTGGCGCTGCGTCGTCCCCTGGCGCGGCCGCTGCCCCGCACGGACCGGCGGGTCCTGGTCCGTGTCCCGGTCCCGGCGCCCCCTCAGGGCTCCCGCGGCTCTAGGGGCCCCGCGCGCTCAGCGCGCGCCGCGCCGCCACATGTGCGCGCGGTGGCGGGGCGGCAGCGCCGGCGGGGCTCGCGCGGGGGCGCTGCGTCGCCAGGGCACGGGCGGGCGGGGCAGCCACAGAGACGCCTCCAACCCGCCCCCGCGAGCATTGTGGGATAGGTCCTCCAGCACCGCCCGCGAGGGAGGGGGCGGGGGCGGGAAGGAGAGGGCACGTGACCTGCCGGCCCCACCCCACGGCCAGGAGCCAATGGGAGGGGTGGGTGGGGCGGGGCCGCGCGCTGCGGGCGGTGGCGCCCTCTGGTGGCGGAGGGGCGCGGCCGAGGGATGCGGACGCTGTCTGTGACGTCATCTGATCGCGACGAGGGGCAGCCCGAGTGCCAACCCTTTTAAATTTATTTATTTATTTTAGCATTATTATTATTATTTTAATAAAAGTGGACGAAATGCGCGCTGGAGGAAGCCCTGTGACCACAGGGGTGTGTGACGGGGCCGCGTGGGCCCAGCCTCGCAGGAGGAGGGAGCAGTGCTGCTGCAAGGGGCTGATCCAGAGGGCGCTGGGTCGGTGCCGGCCGCGGCTCGTGTGGCTCGCGGAAACAGTGCGGTTTAGTTCTTATACGTTCTCATAACCTGTTATTATCAAAGCAGTTTGCCGTGTTGTCGTAGGTCCTGCCTATGGCAGACGGGAAAGCAGTTCGGTGCAGCAGCCTCTGCTGGCCTGTTTTTTGCACTGCATCACAGCCCCACCAGACTGTGTCTGCTGGGGGCTCCTCCGCACTGGCTCAGAGCAGAGTTGGGGAGAGCCCAACCCTCAGCTGAACCCCCAGGGCAATGCACCTGCCATAGCAACAAACGACAGGGAAGGGGAAGCAGCGACGTCACATACGCAGGATTGGTTGAGTGTCTCCTTGTGTTCAGAATGAAGCTGTCGCAGCCTGAGTAGAGTCAAATATGTGTCAGCGTTAACCTCTCAAAAATTATGAGAACTTATTAGTTGCCATGATCGCTGACAGAGTATTAATTTAGGATCAACTCAGAAGAACTTAAGTGCGAGCAGGCTGTGGGGACAGAATGTAAGAATCACAGGAAGGAATGAAAAGACTGTGTCCATTGGCAGGCTGCAGGGAAATGTAATAAGAAATAAGACTACAGACATAGTTTGGTGTGCTGATTTAAAGGTAAACCGGCAGGGGAAATGAACCCAACTCAAAAGAGATTATAAGTCAGAATAACAATTTAATAAAAATAATACAATAAATACAAGTACACAGACAAACAATTGGTTTTAACCCACAAAACCCAGATGTATAACCCAGCACTGTGGTGATGGGTTCGTTGGGCCCCCCAACCACAGAGTTGGTGTTCGTTGGGCCTCCCCTCCCTGTGCTGAGCCCCATGTGGTCCCCCTGAGTCCAAAAGTAAAAGGAGAGGGAAAACCTGTTGGTGAGAGTGCTGGTTGCAGTCCGGTTGAGGGTGGTGGTCTCAGTCTGGTTGAGAGTGGTGGTCACAGTCCAGTCCAATTCCCAGTCCTTCTCTGGATCCCACGAGTGGTACCAGAAGTCCCAAGACCCCAAGATTATATATCCTCAGGTTCAGGCAGGAATTCCCAGTACCTCCCTCAGGGCGGGGAGTTCCACAAGGGGTGTGAGGACAGGAACATCCTCCTATCTCACAGGCCTCTTAACACCCAACTTATAGCCTGAGGGGTCAGGCTGCTCTGGGCAGGTGCTATAAATGGTCTATTGTTAACAATTTCTGGGAAATGGCATGGAAGAGTATAGAATACACAGTTTCGTGTTACACCCACACAATGATGAGCTGGTCCCAGATGTTCTAACTAGGACATTTGGAAAGCACACACTTAGGAATGGAGATGAAATGTTTGAGATGAGTATGACTTTAAAGTGATTAAGGTTAATGAACTCCCCAAATCTTCAATTGGATAATATAAAGAAAGCAATTAGGTGCTTTGAAAATTGAGATTAAAGAAAGTCCTGTAATAAAACAAGTGACTCCAAGTGCTGTGCTTTAAATAGACTGACTGATGTTTCTCTTGGTAGGGCAGCACGGTGAGGAAGCAGAAGCAGAGCTGTGTATTCATAGTGCAGCTGTGAGTACGGGTAGAAGCTAGATGTGCCAGAGGAAAACTGGAACACACACGGGGAGAATGGTGTGAATGAGGGCATGGTCATTTGGAGAGGGGAGCAACAGGGAGCGTGATACTAGAAATGAGCAGTATTTGGGTGAGGGAGAGAGAGCGATGATGGCAGAACAGATTGAGAGATTTTGATCACAATATGGTACAGCAAAGGAGGTGAGGTGATGCTTGATGAAAGCAGGGATGAGTTAAGAGTGGGACTCCTGAGGGACAGAATGGTAGTTATCCATGAGTGGAGAAATGAGGGTTGGCATAGATCACAGAGGAGAAGATGGAGATAACTGCATATTTGTGCTGTGAATTTAAATTCTTAACTTGGAAATATTCTGTGCCATCCTATGCCATTTGCCATCTATACAACATTGCAGCAAAGGCACAGGTAAGTGACTATTTATTATAAGGTTTTTTTAATGTAATAAGCCTGAATGACCCCGAAGTGGTATTTCTGGAGTCTGGAAGAAATATGGTGAAAAAATTTTAGCATAATGGGTTGTTCTTCCTATTGTGACACTGTTGGAAGTGATCCGTTAAAGCCCCACCAAAATATGCTATGCCCAGGGAACAAAAGAACTGTTAATGATATAAAACTTTTGATGTCTGATTTCAGATGCTCATTTAAATAATGAACAATTCATCTATGGAGCTTTTGAAGAATGTAAATATATTCAAATGACATAAAAAACATCTGAAGTGGAGACTCTGAGGGTTATTCAGAGCTCATTCGCCCTCTCTGCCCCATGAAGGGTCAGTCATGCATATGTTGCTTCTTCACTCAATCTGTTCTTCAAGATCTCTGATGGTGGACTCTCTCTTCCAAAGCCTCCTTCCTCCAGCAGTCTATTTCTCTAGTTTAAAATTTATACTTTTGGAAAGCTGTTCTAATCCATAACTGTGATCCTTCCTGCTGCATCAGAAGCCCATATATTTATCCCTGTCCACCGTAAGCTCTGGGATCAGACTGTCCCCTGTCTCTTTGCAGCAGATTTTTATTTGCTTTAGCTTTTTCAATTCCTTCTCAATCTTTATCTGAGGTTAAACAACATTACTAAAATCAAATATATGGTAAGTGCTTTGTCCGTCCTATCCAAGGGACCTGTTACTTTGCTATAAAAGGAAATGAGACTGCTTGGGCATCATTTCTTGAAAAATTAGTGTTGGATATTATCTTCTTCTTAACTTTGAGGCAATTAGAAACTGTTAGCTTGATTAGTTTTTCACAGAGATTTTTTTGGAGATCTCTCTCTCCCTCTTTCCAACAATGAATTTTGATTATTGCTTTGATTTGCAATTCAGCTTTGTCATGTGTTTATATATTATGCAAAAAAAATTAAATTAACTGAAAATAAGCTAGGGGGTTTAGCTCATTGTTTCAATAATGTGATGGTCTGAACTCTCTGTATTTGGTACTGGCATTGTCATTGCTTTTTAGGGAATTTTAAAATTTTGAAATTCTGCTGTGGTGGTCACAGTCCAGTCCAATTTCCGGTCCTTCTCTGGATCCCATGAGTGGTACCAGAAGTCCCAAGACCCTGTGTTTTCTATTTCAAGATTCCTTGGATACTTGGCTGCACTGAGAACATTATTTCAATGTTAGAGGTTCTCTTTTTTTCCTTGTTTTAAAAATTGTTTGATTGAAAGACCGTTTTTTTATTTACTTGCAATATGTCTTTGCTTGCAAGTTTCATTGTTTGGAAATACAGTATGATATTCTATAAATAAAAGTAAATGGGATGAGTTAACACACACTAGTGAAGAATTCAAGACTTCTGCTTTTTAGCCAAAGTAAATGCAAAAGGTTGGTCTAATACATTAAAAAAAATCTTTTTTGAGAGTATAGTCAGTCAGACTATAGACAACTGTTCTGTTTTCTTTTTTTCTTCTTCTTTCGTTTTTCTTATATTTGTTTTAATACATCGCAGGATCCACAGAATATTCTGAACTGGAAGGCACCACAAGGATCATCAAAGCCCAACTCCTGGCCCTGCACAGCACAGCCCCAAGAATCACAAATTCTAGAAGCCATGTTGGAAACAAAGTTATTAAACCTCTGCTTTGGATCTTTGGTTGTTTAATTGGGTTTTTTTGATTTCTAACTCATTCGAAGAAATTACTCAGTTATTACTGGTTCTACTATTCATGTTTGAACTGACTATGTCTACCATTTAGTAAAGTAAATACAACCTCCCCTCTTGGCTTAACCTTTGGCAAAACTGAGTTTCAAAAGGTGAGTGGGATCAGATCAGAAAAATTTTGACAGCACACATTTCAGATTCACAGTATTTCACTGTCCAGGAACCGTGCATCAGTGTCTGAGAGCTTCCTGTTCAACTAAATTGTGTTCTGGCTCTGAAGCTGAAGATCTTGGACAAAACCCTAGGAAATCAGACTCTCTCAGTTCTTTGTGGGTAGTAGCAACCTTTTTGTATAGGATTAGAGGAACCTTGTAATGGTCTTGGCTGGAATTTTTCTCTTGCTATGCCAGGTCATGGTCACACTTTGACTGTGCTCCATGGAGATTGAGTGGAATCCTCTGGAATACTCCCCACTGTAGAAATGAAAGATGTTATTAACAGCAATATGGAATATCTTGAAGAAGAAAAAGCAGGATGTGAGATAATTAGCTATAATTCATAATATATAACCATATTATTTCCTTGGCAAGAAATGGGATGAGTGTTATCCTGTCATGGAGACACCATTCTTTAATTATTCCAAGAGTTCCCGTGAGCATTTTGCAAATATCCTAGCACTGTGCTGTGACCAACCACATTTATTCACAGGCTTAAGACAAAAAATCCTTGGAGCTTTTAACACCAGCATATAGTATGTGCATACCTTGCAGTTTCTCACAAAAACCCAGCAGTACACTTCTTAGCAAAAATAGCCAACATGCTTTTCTCATTCCAAATTATGTGTTCTAATTTGTGGGATGGTGACTTGTCTAACCAATTTAGCCCATTGAACTTACGCTGAACCATGTTATGTAATGGTTCTTTTCATCACCCTGAACAGGCTTACTGGTTTCACTCAAACTTGCTGTGACAGGTTGTGATAATTACTGTTAAAAGTGTTGAGTGCAACCACTGCCCTTCATCTTAGAAGAACTATAGGAGATGGCTAAGTACAAGCAAAGTTAAGCTCAATTTAAAGGCACACATGGGTTTGATCTCATTGGATGGAAAGGTTTTGCCGTGGGACTGTGTGTGTGACAGAGCGAGAGGAGGATAAGAGGGAATGGAGTTAAATGGTGTCATGGTTTAGCCCCAGCTGGGAGCCAAGCCCCATGCAGCCGCTCGCTCACTGTCCCACCAGCAGGATTGGGGAGAGAACTGGAAAGGTAATAGCCAGAAAACTGATGGGTTAAGTACAGACAATCTAATGGGGAAAGCAGAAGCCACGCTCACAAGCAAGGAATGATTTCGCTGCTTCCCTTGGGCAGGCACGTGTGCAGCCATCTCCAGGAGAGCGGGGCCCTGCCCCACGTAACGGTTACTTGGGAAGACAAACCTTTCTGGGGCCTGTCCATAGGAGCATTGATTGGTATTTTGTTATTTGTGTCTTACCTCCTAATTTGTACCATACAGCTGGACTCCATAGATGGAGGTACTGTTCTGATTGCGTACCAGCACTCTCGTACATCAACAAACTTAGAAAAATATGTTCCTTCCCTATCTTTTTTCTTATTTAGGAGGAACAGGAGTCTCTGAAATCCAGCTTACCATGCCATCAAGTTGTGATTCAAGAGAAGTTAAAGAACATGATGCAGAACAGTGTCTCCAGAAAATGTCTGTCTGTTCATACCAAGAGATATTATCTTCCTCTCCTGTCTAAGCTGTTCCTCTCCCAGAGTTTTCCATTTCAGGAAAAAAAACACAACCACACAAAATACAAATAAATCCCAAAGTGATGGTTCTTTACAATAATTTGCCATGCAGTTTGAAGCATTGTTTCTGCTCTCTGTTGTGAGGTGGTAATCATGACCAAAATGGAAAAGCGGATAACTAGAGATGATAATACCTCCTGATTGCTCCACATGAGTCAATCAAATTTGTCTGGAAATACCCAGAAAGGGCAGGAGACAATCCATGTTCACTTTTGGTAACGCTTTGGTGAGGTGGTGATGAGAAAAGATGGTTCTACTGGATTGTTTAGATTTTGAGATAGTTCATGTCATCTTTTCAGTAAGTCTGAGTCTACCATATCAGTTTGTTGATCCCCTGTGTTGGTTGCATAGCTCTTCCTCAGAGAAGGCAAAACCCAGAAATGCAGTTCAGTGTCACACAGGTGGAAAGAGGAGTTACTCTGGGGCAGCAGCTCTCAGGGGCGCTTTCAGACCATTTCTTCTATTAACTACTTTTAGAGTTGTGTATGTTTCTTTAAATGCATTCTTTAAATGCATTCAGCAAATGTCAAGTCCTAAGCACAACAGGCAATAATCCAAGTGACTAAAATAAGAATAAAACTTGGCCATAACTTTTAAAGAAATCATTTCAGGCTTCAGATTATTTGCTGTATAGCTCACATGAATTACATCTGCTGCCAACACCACCACCATCAGCTTTTCCAAACAGCCATTTAGCTTTGTATTATTATCAAATACTTTATGTTGTTAGCATAATTTGGACATTAGTGATTTACTGCACCCAAACTGGGCTATGTTATTACAATCCCTAGGCAGTAATCCCCAGTTGATCACCCAGTAGAGTCACCCGTGAGTCGCTAGCAAATGGTCCAGTACAAACTGAAGTGCTGTTCGCTATCTAATAAACACATTATTCATAGTGGACTCGCTAATAAGGGCACCACTAAAAAAAAAATCCCTTAATCACATATAATACTGCTGGAGTATTTTTAGTGCATACTAAACATTCTTTATACTGAAAACAAGAACTAAGCATCCACTCTACTAAAAGTACTACACCCGACTTAATACACCCTGAGAACAGTATTTTCAAAAGTGTGTTGAAATAAATTATTTCTGACATTTCCCCCAAAATAGCACTTCTGCTTGTCTGCAGCTGCTCAGGTTGACGTTATGGAAGAAGGCAGCTAGGTGGAGAAGTTGTTAATGTTACAGTGCTCATGCTTATGCAGCCACCATTGAGACTGCACTAGAAGAGGTGTTGGCTTTGTGCACTGAGAAGAGTTTTGTTGAATTGCTGAGATTACCCACAGGCCATAAAATTAAGCAGAAATGTAATTATTTCCTAGGTCCATCATCACATGCCTTGGGGTTTTTCTAGGATTTTTTGGTTTATTTTTTCTTCTATGGTTACATTCAAAAATTATTTTTAGCACTTAAACTAGGATTTTTTTCGGTGAGGCTTTTTCCACCTGAAGTTTGTTAGTCCTTTGAATTTAAAATGCTGAAAGAAAAATCTAACCAAAACTCTAAGCACCTTCACACCTGTAAATATACCAAAAAATAGGGAAGTAACCTTCCCAATGATAATTCAGTGAGTTGAGCACCTTCTGATATGCCCTCTGCTGCAGTCTCAGGGCTCCCAAGCTGTGGGGCATCCTGCGTGCTGTAAGGTCTCTGTACCTGATTCTCTCAGCTCTACATGGCAGACCAGTGAGAGTGCCATGGTGTGAACACATCACCCAAGCAAGGCTCACGGGACAGAGAGGTGAAAGACAAATTCTGGAGTAGTGTCTGAAAGGAAAATCCATCATGTCTTCAATGGACCCAGAGCTAAAAAGACAGACTGGGTTGCAACTATCATGCAATGTCAGAAATCGATTAGCCAGCTGTTGAAGAAAGCAACAGCATCTTAATTACCTTCTTCCCCCAACACCTTGATGTTACCATAGACCTGTTTAGGTGGAGTACCTGCAGGTAACTGCCCTCATCCGTAACGACTCCTTAGTTGTCCTTCGTGGTCTATGTGTGCTTTTTACACTGGATATATCCTTGTGATATACCTGTACAGGATGGTCATGTATCCATTTGTTTATCAGACAGAATTCACAGAATCAAAGAACGGTTGTGGTTGGGAGGGACCTCTGAAGGTCATCTCGTCCAATATCACCTTGCTCAGGCAGGGCCATTTAAAGTGGGTTGCCCAGGACCATGTCTAGATGGCTTTTGAATATTTCCAAGGATGGAGACCACAGCCTCTCTGGGCAACCTGTGCTGGTGCTTAGTCACCTCTCACAGTGAAAAAGTGTTTCCTGATATTCAGAGGGAACACCCTGTGTTTCAGGTTTTGTACATTGTTGTGGATCCTGTCTCTGGGCACCACTGAAAAGAGCCTAGCTCTGTCTTCTCTACACCCTCCCTTTAGGAATTTGTACACACTGACCCTCCTCTTCTCCTGGAGGCTGTACAGTCCCAGTCTCTTGACCTTGCCTCATCTGTGAGGTACTCCAATCCCTTCATCATCTGTGCAGTCCTTTGCTAGAGTCTCTCAAGTAGCTCTGTATTGCTCTTGTAGTGGGGAGCTCAGATGTGGACACAGCACTCCAGGGTTAAGCTGAGGTGAAGGATCACCTCCTTCAACCTGCTGGCAATACTTTGCCTAATGCAGCCCAGGATACATCATTTGCCTTCTTTGCAGCAAGGGCACCTTGCTGGTTCGTGTTCAACTGTGTCCTCACTAGGACCTCCAGGGCCTTTTCTGCCAAGCTGCTTTTGAGCAAGTATGGGGAAAAAAAGAAAAAGAAAATGGTATGAAATTAGATGAGCTGTTCTGTGGATTTCCAAATTTACGAAAGAACTAAGTAGATCCTATTAATGCTATCTTCCCAGGTTAGCGAAAAGGAAATGTTATAAAGTTTTAATAAAATAGCCACATTTCTTCTGAGGGAGCACATTATATATTTTGTAGCTAATAATAACACTGAGCTGTTAAGGGGAGTCAGTAGTGACCTATTCATTTTGACATTAAAATTGTGACTGAGTCTGTACCTGATCTGTGACAACCCTAGTGTTTCAAATATTGGGGTACACTGCCCACTAATATTCTAAGCACATAGTGTAAGGGTATTTATTTTTGCATACCAACTTCTTTCCAGCTGCTTTAAAGTCTATAATACAAGTGGTAAAGAGACTTCA